TGGGAAAAAGCTGAAGGGGATGAATCGAGAATCAAACAGGTGTGGAAACCTCCTTCACCCAGGGAAAAACTGGCACCCACTCACCTCATCGAGAAGGAAAGATGCCATTTTATGACCCTGCCAGTGACAGGCAGATGGAAGGGGAAGACATGGGAGACAGCAGAGTTTTGCCAAGCCCCTGGCAGCTGCAAGCAGGAATCAATATCAAACCCAGGCTAAATGCTGTGCTGCTCTGTGGTCAGGGCACAGGGCGCTGATGGGTGGGGGTCCTGCCCCTGCCCTCCAGACTCAGCCAGCTCTCCATCTGCCGCAGCTGAAAGCTCTTTGGACAGTGGCTGTCACTAGGTTGCTCTCTATCCCCCCTTAATGAGCCAGAGTTTATCGAGCTTTTCCAAGGATCCCGGTGCCAGGAGAGCTGGTTCTCAGCCCATCTGCCTGTGTCCCCCTCCCACTCTTGTATCGCAACCCCTTGCACACAAAGCGAAGGGGTTTCTCTGCCAGGAGCCAGTCTTAAACCATCCCTGATCAGCAGAGCTTTGGAGGTCCCACATCACCCACTTCTCATGAGCGAGCATTGAGCCAGGGCAGGAGAGGAGCTCACAGCTCCAATCGTGAGAGAGGTTACAAGGCAGAGCAGCCTGTTTGGAAGGAGAAAAGCTGTTTCCTCAAGTCTGCAGCTACTGGGAGAGTCATGAGGGAGGTGTTTTTAACCCTTTTTTGCTGCTGGTATGGGTTAGATTTGCAGATTTTGGTACGCAGTTAGATTTGAGCCCAAATCTGGTAAGGTGCCCTATGAAATGACTCTGGAGATCCAGAACCAAATCTGGTGGTTGCAAACAGAGCCAGGCTGGAAGCATGGGGAACTGCAGCACTGCTTGTTTGTGGAATGGGTATCAGGGTGCGTCCCACCACCCAGAGAAGCGCTTTGGGTGCGAAACCAGCACACTTCAGGAATGGGTCACTGGAGGAAGCAGGAGTGGAGCACGAGGTTCAGCTCAGCATCTGCTGGGAAGTGCAGGGGATTTGGAAAGCTCGAAAGCTCTGTCTTTATACTTTACAGTGGGTTAGTCTCCTGCAGGGAGCAAGGAGACATCCACAGCCCGGTCAGGAGTGGCTCCCCAGCCTCAGCCTGCTGGCAGCTGAGGATGCTCAGCCAGCAGCCTCGTGGTTTGTTCGACCCCTTGCCCATGGAACCGAGGCTGCTAATTAGCTCTAACAACAGGGACGTCTGTTCCTCTAAAATCGCCAGCCTGAAAACACCCCAGACCAATTTCTCCTAAATCCTCCTCCCTTGCACATCCATCAGGAATAACAACCACTTATGGTGCTCCCTGCCCCCAGGCTAAGTTTGAACCAGTAACCTCGAGGTGAAAGCGCTTGAAAAGCTCCAGCGCTCCCCACAGCCAGCATGCTCCCAGCGGGGTTTTCAGCAGCACTTACAGAGCAGAGATGGTTTTAGCAACTGTCGCATCGCAGCAGCCCCTGGCCCGAAGCTGTGTTGGCCTTTCACATCAGAAACCTGCTCGCTCTGCGTCAACAAGGCCCTTGGAGCAGCTGCAAGACCGTGGGGTCAGACTGCAGCTATCGGTAGTGTTTCAGCTGGCTCCTGCCCAGCAGCCCCTACGCAGTGCAGGGGGGGCAGGCACTGGACCTGTCTGCCCAGTGCTCCAGCCCCCCAGGGGTGCTGAGGTCAGGCCAGCCCCTGCCACGTGGCAGCAGCTCTGCTTTTGCCATGGGCTCTGCGCTCTAGATCTGCCCCATGGTGGCCAAGCAGCCAGCGGTGACGGCTGCGTCAGGAGCATCAGGCCCTGCACAGGGGTGCCTGGTTTGTCAGGGGACAGGGCTGAGACCCCCAGACAGCCCTGCAGAGTCCCAGCCAGCAGCCAGAGTTCAAAGACCACCACTGGAGCCGTGCTTCTCCGCAGACCTGCCTGGTCCCTTGCAAGCCTGTGCCAGGAACGAGCCATCCCCCGGTTCATGGTGGCGAGGCGTCACAAGCAGATAATGGGAGCATTGTCAAGCCCTCGTGGTGCCCACAGGCTCTGTAACCCATCTGAGGCTGCAGCACAGCTGTGCCAGGCCTGGCCGGTGCTCCCGGGACAGTGGGACATGGGACACATGCCAGTCACTCCATCCCCTCTTTGCAGCAGGCTGGTCCGCGTCAGAAGAAACCCATCAGAAGCAGCTCTGGGGAAGGGGCTGAGCGGAGCTGCAGCCCCGGCGGGTGTTCATACAGCATTGTGCACCTTTCCTCAAGCCTCTCTCACCCTGGACCCAGTGCCGCAGACAGCCCCAGCCCAAAGCACCACCACTCTAGAGCCAGTGGTCCCAGGCCTGAGCCGGTTCAACAAATCCCATCAAATCCCACCCTTAGGTGTTTGGCCTGATCTTTGCCCAGTGCCAGCAGGACAGGGACACAATGGCCACTGCTCCCCTTCTGGCTTTTGCCAGGGTCCCTGTCTGTGCCTCCACAGTCCTCCCACCTTGGTGGGCATCCAGGGGCACTGAGACACACCCCCCCCCCCCCCCCCCCCCCCCCTCCCAGGGGAAGGAAATTTTCCCACTCCAGCTGGCCTGGGAGATATGGAGGGGAAGATGTTATCAGGGCAGAGCAGGCTCTGAAGCCAGAGGACAGCTCTAATTATTGAGAGCCAATTCCATTACAGCAATCTCAGCCCCAGGGCAATGCAGGCCAGATTTTCCAGAGGGGCCGAGTGCCACGGAAGCAACTTATCCTCTGCACCCACAGGAAAAATGAATTATGCATGCACAGAGCAGACCTGTGGCAGCCCACAGGGACCATTCCCATGCGTTACCAAACCATGCTGCTCCTGCTCCAGCAGAGAGCCGATAGCCCTCGGTGACACTTTGCTCCAGCCCTCCTCGCTTTTCAGCTGGAGAGCTCCCAGGTCCCTTTTGCCACCACCTGCTTTTGCCTTGCTCTCCAGATTGTTTTGGCTTTGCCCAGGCGTCCTCCTTGCCCTGGCTCCAGCAGACTCCAGCCAACACTCCAGCGTGGGCACACAGCTCCACAAGACTGCCTGTGGGAGGAATTGCGTCCCAGAGCAGGATGCAGGCAGCGAGGACGGTCCTTCTTCTGCTAGCAGCTACAGAGGCAAGAGCAGGAGAGAAGCCAGAACCAGAAGTGTCAACGTTAACCCCCCTCCTCCTGGCTCACAGAGAAACCTCCAGAGAGAGGGGGGGCCCCCCAGGAAGGGCAGCACATCACACCAGGTAAGGCAGGGACTTCTGGGACATGCTCACCTGGATGAGGGAGGGCAGCTCTTCCAGACACCTCCCACAGCCCACGGGGAGCTGTGACAGCACATGGGGAAACCAAGGCAGAGTCCAAGGTTAACCAGCAAAGCTACCTGTTCTCCCCCACCGACTCCCCTATCTAGGGGGGCAGGAGAGGGAGGGAAGTATTTTAAAATCATCCCAAAGGTGGCAAGAAAGCAGGCAGCAAGTCACAGTCTTAACCAACCTTCTTATTTCTTTATTTGAAAGGCACAGCTTGTACGTCCTTGATACAGCATTTTCAGTTCCTCTTTTTATAGGTCAAGTGATTAAACACAAAAAGCAAACCAAGATCTTTCTAAAGGACTATATACAAACACCAGATTATTATTTAATTTTATTCTTTTTTTGTTCCATTTTTGTTTTTTTTAGAAGACACGCTAGCGCACGGATATAAGAACAGAGAAAGCTGCTGTATCCTCTACATGGGGGCGGGGGTGCAGGGAGGGGGAGGACCAGGAAAGGCTCTCAGTCTGCCTGCCCCTCTGCCCAGCTGCCCAAGCCTCCCCCAAAGCTGGGTGCTATGCCGAAGGGGAGCAAGTGGTGGAGGCTCCCCCTCCAGCCCAAGGCCAAGAAGCAGCCGAGGAGAAACCCCGACGGCCAGAGTGCGTCGTACTGCCACGGTGCCGTGGGACTGGTTAAGAACAGATACATGCAGAACAGCAAGGTGCCGGCCTGGTATTAGTGCAGAAGGGGTGTGGGGAGGACAGGGACAGAGGTGGGGCAATGCGACGAGATCAAGAGCGCTTGGGAAGGGAGGAGATGGTTTCGGGGCAGGGATCCCAGCAAGGAGTTGTGCAGAAACCATTAGGATCAAGGGGCATCTTTAAATACCAAGGGGGGAGCAGCGGGCAGAGGGGAGCCACGCAGCACCGAGAAGCAAGTGGCCCCAGAGCAGCCCAAGCCACGCTCTGGCTTGGCTCTGCAACAGAACAGGAGCAGGGACGGGGATGCCAGGCTGGGCACAGGGAGAGCACAATCGGCCACACGGTTACTGCTATGGCGCTTGCATTGCTGCAGAGCAGCCTGTCCACTGGGAAGGTGGTGGGGGCATCCCCCAGGCACTGCTGCCCATGGGAACAGGCCTGGCAAGCTGCCAGGAAACACAAGCCCCTGCGATTCTGCTG